CCCCCAACCAAGGTGGGGCTTTGAGGGCTACGCCCTGGCGCTGTCGGTGCTGGCAGACCGCAGCGCGGGCCGCCCCCTGGACGACTCAGACCTGGGCACAGCCCTGCACCTGGCAGAGTGCGCAGCACAGGCCATGCACGCCGGCGAAGCCACTGCGGGGAGCCCGACACCTGGCGGACAACGCTCGGCCGTGGCCTCTCCTGAGCGCGGCCGGGGCGGCGCGGACAGGCAGCTGCAGGGCAGCTGCGACGTGATGCTGCCCGACGTGGCGTGTGTGATGGCGCCGTCTGGGCAGCTGTATTTCAACGACGCAGCGTGGCTGGGCAGCGAGGGGGCGCGGCTGGTGCACGAGGGGCTGAGCCACGCCGCGGCTGAGGCGCTGGGCGTGCGCAGCATGAGGTGCGGGGGAGGGCTGGGGCCTCGGTGGTTGGTGGGGCTGGCGTCAGGCCGACGGGATCGTGCTGGCCTTGCCCTGTCATCCTGCATCCGGTTTGATGTTTGACGTGCTGTGCCACACTCTAGCAAGACTGTAAGCCCTGCGCACCAAAGCACCGACGACTTCTTTTCCCCATCAGCATGCACCAACGGCCTGACAACTCATGCAGGCATATGCACGAGACCAGCCGCCACCAGGCCGCCGCCGACCTGCCATGCCCCTCCGCCGACGCCGCCCTCGCCGCCGCCGCCGAGACGCACGCCGCGCGCTGCCCTGACCCTTCGTCCAGCAACGGCGGCCAGCACGATGACGCCGCTGCCGTCATCGGTAGCGGCGGTGCGGGTGCCGTGTACGCGTTCTTGTGTGATCTGTCCGAGCTCGCTGACGTGGCGGGGGCGTCGCGGCTAGAGGTGGTGCTGGACGCGCGCCAGCTAGCGGGGCGGGCGCTGCTGCATCCGGCGCTCGGGCGGTACCAAGGCACGCGGGCGCGGGCGGGCCGTTGGTGGCGGCTGGCGTTGTCTCTCAGTGCTGCCCTGCCATGGCGTCGCTGTGCCTGCCGTCTTGAGAGCCTGGACGGCCCCCTGGGCAGGGCCTGGTCTGCAAGCCATGACACCCCCCAGCCGCGCGTCTGCCAGATAGCAGAGGGAAACAAGCCTTCTGTTCAGGGCTGATGGAAGAGACATCACCTGCAAACCCCTCACCACTCCGCTCACATCTCTCGCCCCTTGCACCTCACCCCTCATCCCTCACGCCTGCCCCTCCACTCCTTACCCCTCGCCCTGTGTTCCAGGCCCCGCACTGTGCGCGGTGCTGGACGGCGCAGTGCTCACCCCCAAAGAGCTCTCCGCCCTCGTGGGTGCCACCGCAAGCGCGGGCCCAGCCGGGGCTGCGGTCCCTGGCAATGCTGCGGGCGGTTACCTGCTGCGGGGCGGGCGCGGCGTTGGGCAGGGGTTGGCCGCGGCGTTTGGCGTCAGCGACGTCTGCCAGGCGCTGGCGGGGGACGCGTGCTGCTTCTTCGACCCCTCTGGTGAGGGGCCATGGGGTCGCCGCTTCCTGCCGCCGGCAGTACCCCAATCGCCGTCTGCTGCTGGGTTGCACATGGGGGGTTGCTGAGTGGCTGCGCGGGCTTGAGCACCCAAATGGCGCGCGGGGCATCCCCATCCTTTGACCGCCCTTCGGGCACAACCCACGTTCACTTATCCGCAACGCACACAGGCCGTGTCCTTGCCCAGAGCGCCGCCGAGCTCCGCCGCCCGCAGCCGCGCGGCCGCCGCTACGCCCACCGAGACGGCGGCGACGCCGGCGACGCCGCGGCCTCCCTGCTCGCGCGCTTCCCGTCCCAGTTTGCCGCACCCTGGGCGTTCGCGGCCGGCCACGACCCCGGCGCCACGGTCGAGGCGACACTGCTGCGCCTGCCCCTGCGGACGCCGGAGTCGATTGCCCCTGCCGCAGGCGGCCCTGGCGTCGGTGGCGGCGGCGGGGGCGCAGCGGCGGGCGCAGCGGCGGGCGCAGGCCGGCTGCGAGAGCTCGGCGTCTCAGAGGCTGACGCGCGGCGCGCGCTCGCCGCGTTTGCGTCCCAAGCGGCGCGCGGGCTGCTGCTCGCTCGCGGCCCGCGCGCCGTGTCCGTGTCTGTGTGGGAGCGGGGCGAGGCGGCGGCGCGGGCCGTGTTCTCATGCCGCTCGGCCTTGGCGCAGGAGCTGCAGCAGCCGGGGAGCGGCGGCGGCCCAGGTGGTGGCGGCGGCGGCGACCCCGCTGTCTTCCCTGGTGCGCGCTTGGTGGCGCACCTGGGGATCGAGGGCGGTCGGCCCGGCTGCGGCTGCAGCTGCGGTGCATTTGTTGAGAGGCAACGCATTTAAGCCATGGCAGAGCGCATGACCCCTGCCCTGGTGTCAGCCTGGACGCCCAACACTAAGCAGGCCTCACGCAAATCACCACCCCGCACACGCCGACCGCCCCCCCCCCCCGCGCTAACCCCCTGCAGGCGCGCTCGTCCACGCCATCGCCACGCGCCCCAAGAGCAGCGGCGGCCTCGGCCCCTTTGCCTTCCTGAAGCACGCCAAGCTGCACAACCAGGTGCACAAGCACGTTGTCGCCATCGACGTCGATGAGACCGCCGACACGGCCGCCCTGGCCGCGCTGGCCGACGGGCGGCCGCTTGGCGTCGAGGGTGGCGCGGCAGCCGGGGACTCGGCGGCGACCGGGGACGGCGCGGCGCCGCCGACCTTAGGGCAGGAGTGTGGCGGCAGCGGGGAGGCCGACGGCGAGCAGGGCGACAGTGAGAAGCGGTCTGATGGCAGACAGGGGGGCGGTGTGGCCAGGAGCCGCGAGAGCTGGATGGTCAGCTGCTGCGTGGAGGAGCTCAGCGGCCTGGGCGGCCTCGCGCGCCAGCTGGCGGGCGCCACCGCGCCTGGCCCCGGCGGCGAGAGCTTCGGGCCGCTGGCGTGCGTCGCGGCCCGCGTTGCGACTAGCGGGCGGCGCGGCGTGACAGCGGCGGGCGGCCTGCTGGCCATGGCGCTGCCGCTCCCGCCCGTTCAGCCGGCGTGGGGCGGCGCCACTGACACGCGCACGCACGTTCCCGGCGGCAATTTGCTGGGGGCGCAGGGCTTTGTGGTGGGTGGGGATTTCCAGCTTGAAGCGCGTCGCTTCGCCGCTGCCCCTGGGGGCCGCTTGGGACAACTGCCGCTCGGCGGCGCCAGCCGCCGCGCCGCGCCGCTGCTGCCGCCCGGGCCCCGCGGCGGCGCGCCCGACGGCGGCGGGGCCGCCTCGTCCGCGGCCGCAGCCCCGCCGCCGGACCCCCGACAGGAGGCGTTTTTCGCGGGCGTCGTCACTGCCTGGGAGCACCTGCTCGCGACAGCCTGCGGCCGTGAGGGCGGGCCCGCGCCGCTGCCAGGGCTGCACCTGCTGCTGCCAGACCTTATTGGGGCGCGGACTGCTGGGGATGACGACGCGGCGCGGGTATTTGTGCAGGTGCGCTTTAATTGGCGGGGGCGCTGCACACTTTACGCGCTCCGTGCTACTGTTGTGCATGTGGTTGTATGCAATGTGCGTGATTGTGTGTGATCGTGTGTCGTTGTGCCTGTGTGTGTGTGTGTGTGTGTGTGTGTGTGTGTGTGTGTGTGTGTGCGTGTGTGTGTGTGAGTGAGTGAGCGTGTGCATGTGTGTGCGTGCATGAAGTTGTGTATGGTCGTGTTGTGTGCCAACGTGTGCGACACCTCTTGGTGGTTCCCCATTCAACTGAAATGATTGTTGCTGTCAGCATCCTGATACTCTTCTCTTGCATGTGCTGAAATATGCCACCAAACCAAACCCCTCCCCGCCGACCACCACCCCCATCACCTACACCACAGATGTACCAGCTGGCCGCCGACCTGCAGGCCTGGCCCCTCCACAACGGTCGCCTGGTGCACGTGCGCGAGGGCACCTTCCTCCAGCCGCCCAGCGCCCTGCTCCCGCCCCAAACCCCTCCGGAAGCCGCGGCGCGGCGGCCGCCGCCTGTGGCGCAGCCAGGCGCCCTGGCCAACGGCTCCCCCATGTCGGCCATCGCCGCGGCGGTCGGCTCCGCTCTCAACTTTGCGCTGCCCAGCGAGCAGCAGGGCGCGCCACACGACCGCCTGCAGCAGCAGCAGCTGCTGCAGCCGCCGGCAGCCGACCTGGGGCCCAGCGGCCGCGCGTTTGTCGAGCGCCACCTGCCGCTGCTGGCGGTCCCGTGGCGGGTGAAGCTGCAGCTGGACGCGGCCGGCGTCGCCGGGCTGAGGGTCGCGACGCCCGTGGCGCTGCGGCCGCTGCTGCGGCGCCTGGGGCAGCAGCGGGGCGCAGCGGGCTCGGGGCAGGGGGTGGCGTTCTCGCGGATGGGGGTGGAAGCTGCCGTGGAGCTGCTCGAGTTCTGCTGTGGGGACCTGGTGGTGGCGCCTGAGCCGGGCAGCGATGGAGCCGGTGCGCGTTTTGTGCTTGAGAGTGTGGGTGATTGAGCGGGCGCATGGGCATGATCAGCGGGGCAGCTTGCCAGTGCAGTGCTCCCTGCCTCGCTCACTGGCTGGCACTTCAGCCAGCGATGACCTTCTGGACATGTCGATGATCTTGCAGCTCCCCGTGCTCATCTGATTTGTTCACCTCGCCGCATGCCCCGCCGGCCCCTCCCTAATCACAAGCAGGCCACAACGGACCCAACGCCGGCCAGACGCCGTCGCAGCCGCCGCGCCGCCACCCCGGCCGCGTGCGCGAGCTGCTGGGCCTGCCCATCCCCACCTCCGCCGGCACCATCGTCCTCGTGGGCACAGCCCAACTGCTGGTCGTCCCGCCACCCCCGCCCCCCTCAACCCCACACGCTGCCGCCGCCGCCGCCGCGGCGGCCGCGGGGCAGCCGCACGGGCCGTCTGCGCGGCAGCACCCGCTGTCGTCAGGCCTGCTGCCAGCTGGCGCGCTGGGGCAGGAGTTTGTGCACGCGGCGGCGGTGGCGGCGCTGGAGGGCCACCTGCGGGACCCTGCCTTGCGGCGGGAGCTCAAGCTCCAATACTATGGGGTGCCACAGATCGCGGTGCACCTCAAAGCTCAAATCGGGGCCGGCTGGGCGGCGCCCGAGCCGCGCGACGCGCGGGC